ATGAGTATGACGGGTGAACTCAAACTCTTTCTCGGACTTCAAATTAAAAAAGCATGTGTGGGCATTTTCATAAATCAAAGTAAGTATATCTTAGACATACTAAAGAGATACGAGATGAATAATCTAAAACCAATAAATACTCCGATGAGCACTTCCGTAAAGCTTGACAAAGACGATCGAGGCACTTCTGTCAACATCACCAAATATTGAGGTATGATTGGATCACTTCTTTATTCAACTACTCCTCAAAACTGAGCCCTAATTTTTTTTCAAATCTCGCTTCTTACTTTGAGTTTGTTCAAAATCCAACTATTAATCACAAATTCTCCTACTCTACTAGGTTTTCTAACACTTGAGATCATCTATTTAAAGTCTATCATCCATAAATTTTTGAAAACCCCATCTTCAAGTCAATTTTTCTTCGAAAATTCCAAATATTTGTGGCAATTTCGACTTCACGAGGGAAAGCAAAAAGGCTCAAGCAAACTGTTCGTCATCCTCCACCTTCATCATCCGACGAAGAAATGGAATCTGAAACAGAGACAACGCCGACGAATCCCTTCGAGAAGACATCCATTTTACTAGGTAAAAATGTTGATATTCCATCTTTTACATTCAAGGCCCCCGCATTTAAAGTAGAAGAATATCTCATGACCATAGGTTGGGGATCGGTTTGCAAATTAGAGGAAAATGCATATCCACGACTTATGAAGGAATTTTATAAAAATATGACTTTTCCTTCTCGTTCGAATGATATCACTTGTTTTATTAAAAATGTTCGCATCACCGTTTCAAAACCTTTCATCTGTTCTCTTCTTGAACTTGAACCATGCAACGTTCAAACTTATGTACCTAGGAAAGGGCATTGGGATGAGGTGAACAATTTTGATCTTTTTCTTCTTGATTCCTTTCTTGTCGGTCGACGAGTTGATTTCCCGACCATTGCTATGGGCTTTATGAAGCTCATACACTCTTCAGGTATTGTCAAGGCCCTTCCTTACGACATGCTTTTGACTAAGATTTTTCAACATTTCGACATTCCTCTTCACGATGAAGCCTTCATTAAACCATGCCCCACCGATACAATTAGTTCCACTACTCTTAAACGAATGAAAATCATTAAGAAAAATGGCCAATGGGTGTCTGAAACGAAGGGGTTCAACTCGGCTTCTGGACCTTCTACGTTACCAGTTAAAAAAGATGAGTATGACGACGAGGGCGCCCCTCCTACCGGTACCTCGGGATCGAGAGCTACCCAACCTATAGACAAGGTCTTGATGAGGATCAGCTTACACTTTTGAGCGGTCGGTTTGACTCTCTTACTACGACCGTTGAAGGAGACGATTTTTGCACAATAAGCCACTATGCAGGAACAGATGACTGCCTTCTTTACTGACTTCCGTGCTCAATTTCCGCACCCTCTTCTCCGGCTCCATAGTTTTATTATTATTATTATTATCTTAAAACTATGGTTGAACGTTTTGATCATGTACTCAACT